AGAGAATTATATTGCATCGAGAATGGGCTTAATTAGTGCCACACAACAATCTTTATGATAAAAGATTGCTTTAAAAAATTAACCTTTACATAAAAAGTACATCAAAACTGTGGATTAGTTCATTTGTTGGAATACGTAATTATTTTGCATTAATGTGATGTTATGATGTCATAGACACGGTCTGTTTAGTTTTTGTGTCAATGTTGTACATAAATAAACGTACGTGATCAGATGGAGACTAGCGTTTGGTTTGATCAAGATTCATGGACAATCTGTGTGCGTACATTTGTATGGAAGGAGCGCACGGTTAGGAATAGGCACATACAATTCCACATAACAATGGCGCGGCAATTGGAGCGCGAAAGTGGTCCGCCTGAACAGACTAGTAATGCTCTGTACACGTTGATATGCGATAGCGATTTTAAAAGATAATGTTTTTTTGATACAAATATATATATACGATTTTAGAAAGTAATCAAGGAATGTAATAATAGACGTTTTATTTATTGAATTAGCAATAAGAATCCAACATTTTACCACAAACAATATCAGTCAAAAAAACAAACACATTATATTATCTTCATAGTTAGAAATGTATCCACTAAGCAATCTTTTTGGAAATGGAGGAATATCTTTACGGAGAAAACATATCTGATTTCCACCGGTTATGGTTAAATTGAGACTGATTATAAATTCCTACCTATTAAATATTTTGTATTAAATGAGAAAATAAATCGCCACCTCTTAACAATGTAATCGGATGCGGTGACTAGACTGCGGCGCCACTTTACACCGCAAACATTTTGATTGAAGCGTTTTCGGGGCACTTGCGATCCTTCGTCGTTTAATTTGTTTAAATCGGATTGGTTTTTAATACGTTACATATGCTCCGAGATTCAAATATCTGCTTAAATATAAGGTAATGTAAAGTGTAAAAATAAACTAACGATTATGACCATTTAAGAAAAACACAGTATTAAATGTTGCTTGAAATTATGTTATTAGTGAAAGTGGGAATAGTAACTTTCATCTTACTTTGTTATAATTTTAAAGTACTATAATTTCCAATATTTTCTGATTAAATCAAAACGATAAAAGGATTTTGCTAAGCCATTTCTCAAGTACATTACGTAAGGTTAGGCTATAAACTGAAATTGTTCAAGGAAACGTAGGACGGTTGATTAATTGCGGTAAAAGGACGGGTTTTGCGTTATACCAAACCTATTTAGGTCATTTGTAAAAGGTTCTGAGAATAAAATGTTAGGATTTAACAGCTTGGCTATTAGTTCCCAAATTATCTAATTCAGATGCAATTCGATTTTGTTACTAGATATCAACGAAATCTATTTTTTTAACGCCTTCCATACTACTACGTTGTTTTCAAATTAAGCCTTAATCCAACGATACGGTTTTTTTATTAGTTGTTTTTTGCTTGTTAACGTTTATTAAAAAAATCTGCATAAGTAATGATAGTTAAGAAGTAGAGTATGGTCTGATCATTCAATAAAACTTATATATTTATTAGTGTTCGTGCGAACGAAAATATCTTTTCAGGCTTTTCCCAACTTTACATTTTGCATTTTCTGTTACTTTATTTCCCTTAAAGGAATATTATTTTAGAAAGTCTTTTTAGAAACTGAAAAATGTAGGACACAAAGGCAATTCAGTCTTTGTGCTGCGCGTTGCTTATTTGTTCCTTCTATTGAAGTCTTTTTTTGCTGTGTTGTCACTTTCAAAAGGACATGTACACATTTTGGTACTAAAACAAGTCTTTTTACTTTAGTCCTGTTATTTTTAAATGTAAAAGGTAATATTCATTTTACCTAAACTTCAACCGATAAATTCACTTGTTTATATTTTAAAACACGTTTTGTATTAACCTGTAAAACTACAAAGTAAAAGGTAAACGCGGAGAGTACGGTTACCGTGCCCGCACTGATCGTAGCACGTAGCCGGCAAGCGTAGCAGTCGTAGCACGTCTACAGTTGATCGGTCATCTTCACGAAACCGCTACGAATAGATGTAATTCAACATTTATTTGAGAGTGAGCCTAGTTGTTATATGTTAGATCTTTAAACATTACAATATTTTCAAAGAAATAACTTTGAAAAATATCATTTGAAACAAAATAATTTGGTTAAAAAACATGTTTTTAGTTCTAATTTTTTATATGATGATCATAAGTACACATATTTGTATATTTTTTGAGTGACGTTTGGGACTTATTTTGGTTCGAGAGGTTTTTTTACTGTTGTGCAGGTTTAAATGTAACATCAAATGTAAAAGCGGCACGAACATCCCGTGTGCGCGGGGCGGGCGGCGCGCGTCGGCGCGTTAATTTTAAACTTTGATCTGGCCCGGCCGCGGATGGTATTAATTTTTGTTGTTTGTTTTTGAAGTTTTAACGAAGCAATATTCGCGGCGCGGCGATGTTCAATAAATAGAATCTATTCTTTAGATGTATTTTATCCAGCAATGTTTTAGCGTTAAGTTTACTTTCAATTGTTCTTTTGTAACTTATCCGTATTGTGAACTTTTCAGACATACTCGTATAAACAACATTTTTGGAATTAAAAAATCTACTCGTTTCTAAATATTCGATCGAAATATTGATGTGATAAAATGCGTGCCTTTTACTTAGTTGCTACGAAACCGCCACAAGTAATTTAAACGTCGCGGTCGCAGACGAATAGCAAATGTCATAATCATATGATAGGCTCAGCGCAATGCGCCCACCTGTCGGCGCGCGTGCGTCCGCCCTGACGTCACTGCCGACCGCGCCAGAACCCCGCCAACCGCGCCCGAAACATATCCACGAATTAAACACATAATTTTTAATTTGTATTCTAATGGAATAATATTTAACATCTACTAATTTTGTTAGGGGATGAAATAGTGGCTGGCCGCGCGCCGTCTTTTATTTGGTTGTTAATCTAAGATAAATATTACATCAATCGGTGGGAGGCGGCGGGGAGCGGGGAGTGCGCATGCGTGGCTCGCGCCCCGGCCGCTGGCAGTGCGACTCCGGCCGCCGACTGCCGCACACTCTCTCGCGGCTTCCCGGCGGCCCTCAGCCGCGACAGACACGCGGCTACGCTTCTCTCCCGTCACCACTGACTACCAACTCTCCCGCGCTAACCACCATTGCGTAAGTCTCACTGCAAACTTCATCTCCTTTGACAATTCCAAACGCACGTATCGATTGTATTTCTCGTAGGGGTGCGAAAAGCTGCGTGCGAAGTAAATAGTGGCCAAATCGTCGGGACAGGAGTGGCTCCCGACTAATGGGGTAATCCGCGACCGCGGGCGCGGTCTTGTAACCCTAGCACGAGTGCTGTTTGACCTTAAAACGGCGCGCCGAGAAAAAGTTCGCGTTAGCGTGTTTATGTTTGTAGGTTACCGTGTACGCTGTTGTTCCATTTCTTTTGGTTCAACTATGCACTAGTTTCATTTTGGAATGTACCAAAACACTTTTCGTGTTTCTTTACACTTTGACAGTAGCGACGCGCACGATATCTAAGATGCCCACTGTTTATTCTTGTATTTTGTAAAGATCATTTTATAATCCGTATTTACGCAGTTCTCTTTTTACAGTTGTCCATTTGAATATTTTTCAAATCTAAAAATAACTATTTTTAAAAGCATAAGTTGTATCCTATATTAAATATTGTAACTAATTAAAACTCTTTGCGTTATCTCAAGTTTTTTTTAATAGTCGCTAATGATCTCTCCCTAATTAATCACGGGGATGAAAGCAATAGGAATTTGGGAAAAATGTATAAGAGGTATCCCCACCGTTTGATGGACACTTCATTAATATGGCGACGAAATTAAGCGTCTCTAACTGATTTAAGACATGTTTAATAGGGCGTAATACACATTTTAATTTTTTTTTTATTTAATGTAGGTCTCGTTTTCATCATTGTAGAAAAAATATGGAATGAAGATAATTTTCTTAAAGGTCGACAAATCAAGCGAACCCGCAAAAACATGGTTTATTCGGACTTTCCCAAATAACATATGTTCGTTATAGCGTTTTAAAAAAAAACCTGTAACCTGTCTTAATAGAGTTCTCTCTGATGCGCAGATATATCATAGCATCCCAAAAAAAGATAAAATCTAAACATTACGTTTAGTACAAAATAATTAAACTTGTACTCAAAATATCTAAGCTGAACATGAGTCATAGTTGAAATGCATTAGTTTAGTGTGTCATTGCAAACATCGATTTAAATTTCACCCTACATTTGCGTTAGAATGCGGTTTATGTTAATGGAGCGTGCATGTTGACTCCCGAACGAGGAAGTACGCAAGCACTCGATATGAGCTCTGGTCACGATATCTTAAGACCATTACCTAACAAATACTATAAGAGTTCCAATAATAATAAGAATTATTGGTAACAATTATAATAAAAAATGTTGCTAATCCGCTTCAAAAGCTGGTAACGCATCTGTAATTTCTCTGGTGTTGCGGATGTCCAATGTCGTCGTTGACCACCTCTGAGTTTCCGCCGCTCGTTTGCCCTCTTTTCTTATAAAAAAGCTCCTATTTTAAAGTTTTATTTCAGTCATTCCAAATAGAAAATAGATTTCATATTAACGTAATCCGTAAGAATTACGGCATTTGCGGATACGGCAATTACGGAATTTGCATATAATATTTGTGCTGTAGAAAACCACATTTGTTTCAAATCGTTGAAAAAGTTCAGAAACAAAGGTAACCAAAATAATTAGGTAGCCGACGAATGTTACCGTTCTTCGGTATTATCATACTAAATGAAAATATCTAGCGCATTATACTAACACTTTTCACATTTAAACTAAAACGTACTAGTTTCTTTTGTTCAAAAACTATCAAAAATTAATACACCTCAAAAGAACCATTTTAGTTTTTTAAAGGATTTTACTCCCTCGTTCCAAAATTTATTATTATCCATATTTTGGTAAGTCATTATACTATATACGCGTATTATATCCCTTATTTTAAACATTAAGGCGATTTTAATATTAAAAGTCTCCTACGCAGTACGTCGCTAGTAATAAATCTTTAAGTACTTTAAAGCGTCTCCGACGTCGTAAACTTGGGGAATTAGTTGGTAGTCGGATGGAAGTTTGCGATACGGTAATACTACTCCTTTTGTACGAGTTCTTTCAGTGTTGTAACTATATTTGAAGTAAATTCGATTATCTCACAATCGATAAAATAACGATTTTGATCTTTATTTGTAGCTTGTAAGCTTATAATTACGAAAAAAAAATACCTCTGCACCATAAATTATACCTGGTTAATGTCAAAGGAGATTTAGGGTTGCATAATAATACCAATTTCAAATCCCTTCACTCGCGCCACACACATTCGTGCGATCAATCCGTCACCTCTCTATCCATATTTATAATCCCATCAATCTTTGCAGCCTACGTCTGATACGTCAGCCTTCTTTCGGCACTTCTAACGTGTAATTTAAAAGCAATAAGTGTAATAGAAAATGGCGTGGGGTTACTGGTCAGCGTCCTCGGTGATGCCCGATCGCGGTCGTAGTCCACGTCGCGCGGGGACCTCGGTGGTGCACTCTCATCCCAACCCACCGACGGCCCGAGAGGTGCTGGAGACGCACGACGAAAGTATCATACACACCGCGTCGACGTCGCGCGACAGCCGCGATCATTCCGCGTCGCCTCACTCGTCATCTAACGGAGGGCACTCGCATCACCAGCACGAAGTGAGACACGCGGTGCCCGCTAGTGCGCTATTCGGTGAAAGTTTCGGAGAGTTGTCGCGGAGACCGTCGCTGGATTTGGGTTCAGTGCGTAGTGCGTTAGCGTCGTGTTCGGGCGGAGGTACACTGAGCGCGGGGTCGACGCTGACTCGAGGGGGTACGCTGGCCGACTATCTGCCGCCGACACCGTGTCCGCACCATCATCGAGTTTATGTCGACCATCACAAACACTACGAGCAACCCATACAGCCGGTGCACGTCGGCGTGCCGCACCATGCGCACTCGCACGCCTCCAGTCGACATCACACTGATGATGAAGATGACCTCGAGCCGGCGTATGCAACAGGTATATATGCTTGTTATAATATTAGATAGTTGAAAACATAGGTAAGTTAATAAAGTCGACATAATTAACTAAATTAGTACTGTTTGTACGCTCCTCCTATATTTTTTTTCTATTTATTTATTCCACTGTGTGACTGTGAGGAATTAACAAAAAGATTTTATCGTAATTGTAACATTTAGTTAACGAGTAGATTCTGGGTAGTGTTTTTGTTATTCAAAAAGATGGATATATAAAATTACCGTTTCAAAAAATTCCATTTACAACAATTTCAATAAAATCTTCGTTTGAGCCGAAACATCGCTATGCCTCCAATAACCCTTTGAATGATCGGAAACAAAACGACGGAAGTGAAGAGACTGAAGAATCATTGCTTGTTAATTTTCTGTCGATACTTGAAACGCTTACAAATAAATATTTATTACAGGGACAGTATACGAGTAAGTCGACATCTTCCAATCATTTTTATTTTATAAACACTATTCGTATTAAAGAAACGTATCAAACTCTCTGAACTTTTTTGTACTTTTAATTAATGTCAAATTGTCAAAGGTTAGCTTAATTAAATTTCTTATTTATACTTCAAGTTAATTTAATGAAAATTAGATTTGTGTAGTCACCATTACGTTTTATTGGTTGATGTTCGTAAATTTGCTTAATTAAATTTATGTTCCCTTTATATGTATCTTAAAATCTGCGAACTCAGCTTATATCCGATTACTTCCAAAGTTGAGATTAGGATTACTTCTAGAAGTTATTTCGCATTTGTATTAAATACTTATCAAAATAAAGTTGTTAATATTTATTTTATGTATTCATAGTATTTAGTACAAGCGGGCAAAGAATGGATGAAACAAGGAAAAGATATGGAAAAAGTTAGAGGAGGCCTATACACTGAATGGGGTCCAGTTACTGGAACAAAAGGGCTAAATAAATATATAAACTCATTTTATGTTATGAATAATTCTGCTTGAAGAAAACCGAATGACAAATCGATTTAACAATTCGACTAGTTCAATGACTGTACAATTTATAACTTTAATATCAACTAATTTCTGCAAATATTATCATGTTTAAAAGTCCATAAAGGTTTTAAATAAAACCTAAGGATTAAATCGTATAAATAAAGTGACTTAGAAATTAAGACTAGTTTACGGCTCCTTTGAAGTCGTAAAGTTACGAAATTAGTAGGTTAGAGTGGGAGACGGGGTGGTAAGCTGAAGGTTTTATTATTTTGTTGAGTACGAATATATGTCTAAGAATCTTCATAATATTGGAAAAAATATTACCTTTCGAATACCACTATAAAGATTGTAAAATAATACTATGTTAATGGAACTCCATCTTAATTCATCTAGGTGTCATTTATGGCCGGTTTCCTAAATACTTTTAACGATTCGTTAGTGTCTGATAACTTCATTAAACATAGGTCAACCGAAAATTAATGAATCGCTAGGTAATGACAAAATAAGTGGAAACTTCAGAAACCCAGCATTAGGCTGTTTGAATAAATGTTTTCTTCCTCTACCAATACACAAAAAGACGGCAAACAACGAAGACACTATAACGTCATTTTTGACGTTATAATGTTTTCAATTTTGAAATTCTATTTACCTCTAGAAGTTATACCTGGACCTGCGTGTTAAGTCGTCATCTGTTATTCGTAATGTTTCCCAATTATTAACGCTTACGAGATTAAAGCTATACGCTAATGTTGCAATTTATAGAAGTAAAAATATAGATTTTTTTATGAGAATAAATATCTTTGAACCTAAAATATAAAGGTTTAACATATTCAGAACTTAGTTTCATAATCTCTCGTAAATCATAAGATCAGCGTTAAAGTTATACAACAAAATATATCGATGTAATATGAAACGAATTATAACAAATGTAATGTAATGTTTTGTGTATGCGAAACAAACGGTAAAGTGGCTCTACATGTAATGTTTGCAAGCGGCAAATATTGTCATCGGTTTTCGAACATATATCAGAGCATTAGGAAAGCAAAATCCTCTGTTTGCTGCTTCCTATAGATAAATATGAGTTATGAATTATTACGCTAATGTATTACGATTTTGAAACTACACGGATATTATTCGATTCATTTGCTAAATATAACTTTTGTTAATGTCTTGATAAATGTACGTAATTAAAATAAAATGTAAAGTAAAGAAAATAAAGTGGCCTATGTACAGCAAATATGCCTTCAACTCATTTTATATTATATTATGAAATGAACTGGTTTGGATTCATAAATTTATCTTGTCACTCTTTATTTGTTTGTCTTTTCATAATTCTATAAGCGTCGAAAAGTGTGAAATGTTTTGCAAATGCAATATACCTAACCACATATAAAAGTCGCACTGTCAAACCTTTGTCAAACCCTTTTACGTTACCAATATGACAGTCAATCTGTGTTTGAACGTCCAATAATCTGTTAAGGGCATGAGCATCACGACGAGTATGGTGAACTTTTACTATCAACTTGACATTTCTTCTAATAAAATGTTTAATACTTATTATTAGGTGCATTCCGTAGAGAACTTTGGGCTTGCTTTCATATATCTACTTCATACTTTTTTTTTTAATTTTTTTTGTAGTGTAAAACGAAATTTGTTATGTCATACTCAAAATGTTGTCGCGCGTGTTCTTAAAGACACGAGTGCATTGGTTTCCCACCCCTGTCTTAGGACAAGACTAGAGATTAGTTGGATTATTTACAAAAATAAAAATTTACTTATTTTTTATTATTAAAACGCTGACGTCACTGGGACAGCAAGTCAGTAGTTACAGATATGCAGAGCAATCAACGGCGAAAAGGTTATTATTTTCTCCACACAGAACTGCGCTTCAAGTAATTGGAAATCGGAATCTATTTTAATTGAGTTGACATTGCAGCGGAGTCTCTTTGTGAATTTAGGTCGCGTGTACATGTATGGGTGTTTGTTTTTTTACATCCAAACTGAAAGCAATATAGTTGGAATGTATTGTTGAAAGTAGGGACCTTATAATCGTGTCAATTGTAGATATGAAACATAATTGATTGCTCTGTTGGTCGCCTATTTCTTAAAAAATAGGTTTTTTAAAAGAGAGGAATGTTAACTTATTAATTGCATTTTTAGATACATCTCTTTTTTAAAGACTTATACGTATTACAATACATATTTTTTATTTTCGTAATACCAGTTCAAAGTTATTTAATCTTTCCTTCTAATGTCAGACTTTTCATATTCAAGATATCAATATGAAATGGAGCCGAACAGAATGTATAATGGAATCATTTTTTACGTTAATGTTTATGACGTCACGGCTTTCCAATATTTCGCCGTCTCGCGTTCTTTTTGAGATATGAGCCTTTATGGCTCATATCTCAAAAAGAATAACATAATTTCCTTTCATACTGACGAATAAATTGATACATAGAATGTTCATTAATTTAATAACACTAATATATTTATTTATTTGCTTAAAGAATTGGTAATTCGTCAGTTGCATTTTCTCGGTGAATATTTAAGGTTAAGAGTCTTGCTACTTCACCCCAAATAGTATAAACTTGATATTTGTATAAGGTTGAAGACTAGAATAGTATGACTGTACAGTATTGTTGAACACATTTGCCGAGACAGTACTGTATTGTCCTACTGACTTACTGTTCAACCTTCGTGTGTAACTAGTTTAAGTCGTTTTGTCTTAAAGGCAGGATTTATGTTTATCAACGCGATGTATCAACGCAGTTTCCGTGTCGTTGCGCCGTCCGTCGCCCGGCAGGAGTACAATGAGCCTCGACTATATCCGGCCATGCCGATGCTATCGACCCAATGACTTGTGAACTTAATACTTAGTTACTTTGAAATGAAAGATTTCTGTGACACATTTATCCCATTTTGTTTTGTAATCTGTTGCCCCCGACTTCGTCCACGCTATATTAAGATAAAAAGTAGCCTATAATATGCCCGTCTATGTCAGTTACCCTTCAGTGAAAGTCCGGACGAAATCGGCCCAGCCGTTTCGGAGATTACCCGGAACAAACGCGGCTTGCGGGCAGACAGACAGACAGATAGACAGATGAAAAAATCTTAAATGCTTTTTTCGTTGTTAGCATCGCAAATAGATCATCTTCCCGAAATCTGAAACATTTCTTTAGATGTTACAAACAGACACTCCAATTTTGTTACATGTATTGATAGAATTATGAGTAGATGTTTAATTATGTGAACTTAATCATTTGTTTAAGTAATATAACAAACATTAGTGGTCGGTTTCCCAGCAACATTTAACTATTCATTAGTGTTATTGGTTTGATAACTTCATGAAATGCGTTCATCTATCCATCTACACTTTCACTTTTATAACATTAGTGAGATTAGTAAGATATGAAAGTTTCTAATTTAACATTGTTCAATAATGTAACACAATTCCATGGCGTGAACATCGTATTTAACGTGTAGAGTGGTGCACTTAGGTAAATGTTTTCGCACGACGCGCCCCCGGCACCGCTCCGCTGTGGTTGTCTTGCTTTATTCATCGCAGACACGACAGCGTCAAAGAGGATTAGATTTGTTAAACGAACACTCTTATCCTTGTACTCGGTCATGCGCAATTTACTATATTAGCAGTCGCTCGCGAATTTTGACTGAATGCTGACGTGTGGATGATCCCAAGGGTTTTCGCGGAAGATCAGCGCTGGGTACTTCAATTAGAAGCATCCAGCATTTATAGCGGAGCGAGGACCCAATCCGGCATTGCAATACTCATTTTAAATATTTCGATTGTCCATAGACATAACAGCTACAATAAGGGGGGATTAATATTTTCAAGGAACTATTTCGTTACTTTTTAGTGTATTTTGTTCGGAAGTAGGTTTTGTTTTTTTAATTAAAAATTTTATTTATTCCTCGATTTTTAAACTAAAGGTATATATGGCGAAGTAATTTTTCTTCTTTAAAGACTGCAAAGTCAGTTTTTATCTGTTTTGTAATATGTATCATTGTCTAGGCACG